CTTTTTTTTTCTTTTACTGTACCTCTGTCTGTGTCTCTTTTTCTCTCCTCTGTGTCTTTTCTCTGACTGGTGGTTGGAGACAGTAGTCATGTATTTTGGTCCAGTCGTGAAGGAGGAGGGTTAAGAAAAGATTATTATCGGGTTTAATGTTTTATGTTATTTATTAAAGCTTATCAGCATGACTCACCCTGCACACCAGTCAATTCCAACTCCACTACGAACTACTTCCTGCAGGCTTTTCACAATAGAAGCACGTTAAGTCTCCATCAGCATAACGTCTCCATATTAACTAACCGCATTAAATCTAACTGTGCACGTCACTGAAGAGGTGTTTACTACATTCAGCGACGGCGAAAACTGGATTTTTTTTAAACGTCAGTCAATATAAGCAGCGGAATCGCCACCCGCGGCTGCAACTAGCTGCTCCAACCATTAGCATGCTAACGCACATAGCGGTGCAGCAAGGAAAAATGTCCCCCGGGAAACAACAGTTCACTGGCGGCCGCYACGAAACATTCCACTATTTAAACCGGAATGTCTGGTATTCAAAAAATTCATATCATAACAAAAATAAAAACCGGTATTCGGTACAAAATGGTATACCGCCCAGCACTACCATGCTGCATGGCTTGTAATTAGTTGTTTTTGTGTGTGTGTYTGTCAGGTGATTTTTATAAAGGCCCCCCTGGGAATCTTGACCAAGAGCCAGATGAGGACTGGGTAAAAAGTCGAGTGAACGAGGGTCGTGCCTTTCAGGAGTGGGATGAGGACGCTGATGTTGATGAGTCAGGTGAGGTTTTAATTAAAGCTTGTATTAATGTAGCACTCACAACATGTGATTTATTTATTTATTTATTTATTTATTTATGAACAACTCATCCACAAGATAAACGGTCAGATGGAATTGTATGAGAGTGTGTGGGAACACTTTTTTTAAAAAAAATTTGGCAAATATTTTATACCTGTATTGTGGATCTAAAAGGATTTAATAAACATTGAAATTTAAAAAAACAAGGAAATTCTGTGCTTCAAAAGTCATAAATTTGTGTGAAAGAACTCAATTTTCCATGATCAAAGGCAAACATTTTTCATTATTTAAACTAAATATTTTCTGACAAATTGAAAGTCAGAAATTTATCAGAAAAAAAGTCAGAAGGTAATGGCAAAAGGGGCAAATCACCTGTTTTCACCACCTTGAGCCTCTTTAATGTGCTCTAGTTTAAAAACTGCATTTAATGAACAAAGTGAGCACGGCAGATGGAGAAGTAAGAGAATCAGTGACTAAAGCAATAAGTAAGTCAGTAAACTTTATCTAAATACGTAGCACCTCACAGACTCGAAGAGAAAAATAAAACATTTCAAATAATTTAAAGACTTTTATTTTGAAATAATCTGGTTACTGAAACAGAATGTGTCATCACAAGTTCAGGAAATTGACGGTGATATTGCATGGCTGCATAGAGTTTTGGAAAAAATTATTATTCTTTTGCATACATGATTATTCTAGATGCTCCTATTGCTTCAGTCATTTCAATTATCTCACCTCTCCATCTGGCCATGCTCGATTTGTTCATAAAATGCATAATAAATACTGAAATCACTCAATACTGAAGCTTCACATATCAAATATACTGTATGTTTCACAAATCACACACTTGCTTTTAAATATTCTGTGATCAGTGTAGAATGGTTTAGTCCAGGTCTGAAGGGTCTACATGTTTTAGTTTTTAAACTAGACCAGATTAAAAATGCTCAAGGTGGTGAAAACTGGTGAAATCATTCTTTAGCTGTTTCTGAAAACTTCAAGTTTTTTTTACTGTTAATTAAAGAGTTTTTTTTCTTGTAAATTTCTGACTTCACCATGTCAGAAAACATTGACTTGCTATGACTTTTGTAGGGCTGCAACAYTGAATCGATAAAATCAATAAAAATTGATTATTAAAAGCGTTGGCAACGAATTTCATTATCAATTCGTTGTGTCACGGGATTTATGCGTCCCTCGCCSTGTTGCGGAGCCGATTGTTTTTTTCAGTCAGTATTTAATACAGCTGGCAAAATAAATTGTTAAAATACTGTATGCATTATGTGCTTCAATTTTTTTAATTCAGGAGATTATAAAAAAAAATCCTTCATTTTATGGGAAGACCCTCTTGATTCAAGAGAAAACTGTTTTATTTTTTAAACGGCTGCTTTTTAATTGTTAATCAATCTATAAGATTAATCAACTTCAGATTAATTCTTTATCAATAACTTGCACCCTTAAGGAGTTAACTTAATTTATATCTACTTTATATTCATGTAATTAAGCATTTTAATGATTTGGCCGATTAATCGATTAATCGAAAAAATAATCAACCGATTAATCGATTATTAAAATAATTGTTAGTTGCAGCCCTAGACTTTTGGAGCTCAGAACTGCCTTGTTTTTTTTTTTGTTTTTTTGAAATTTCTGAAATCAATCTAAAAATTTCAGTTTTTTCTTGGTGATTTGCTCCATTTTCTTTTTTATCATAAACTATTGTTGTATTTTGATTAATTGTGTTTTTTTTACACTTTTCTCCTCCTGTATATTTTAGGATTAAAACGATGCTAGCTTTAGATTTGAGGTTCAGTAGTGAGCAGACCTGTAGTGTTGCACATATTGTACATGTAGAAGATTGTCTCATCCGTTGTACGTTGTGTTGRCAGATGTTTCGGTTTGTACTGAAGGCTCACTTGCAATTAGCACTGCTCAGCGAGAGAAGAGGCTCCTAAATGGGATTATCCAGAACCTTCTTCCAGCGGTGGGTTCTTCTGTAAAGTCCATCGTTCTTGCATACAGCTCTACAGTCTCCAGTAAAATGGTACGCTGTGCAAAACTTTTCAGTCAAAAGACCCGTAACTAAATAAATAGTTTTTTAACTTCATAATTCTCTTTTTTTAAATCCAGGTTCGTCAAATGCTCAGCCTCTGCCGTAACATTACTCATTTGGACCTGACTCAGACAGATGTTACAGACTTGGCATTTGACAGGTAACGTTCTAGCTCAGCTAAGGAACACGTGTAGGATTTTATTTTGCAGCAGCTCATAATTAACTCACTGTCATGTTAACTGACTCATGTTAACTGACTGGGAATTTTGCYTATTTTCAAAAGGAAAATTACAGTTTGATCTTCTCTCTTCGTCCTTCTGCAGCTGGTCACATCTGGGAGCTTGTCGCTCTCTGGAGCACCTGGATTTGTCGGGCTGTGAGAAGATCAACGATCACACCCTGAAGAAACTGTCTGTGGGGCTGGGTGACCTGACGTCCTCCACCAGCTCTGACAAACGCTCTGAGCGGCGAGCCAAGCTGCTCGAAAGCTCCCCCGTCCCCATCCCGCTCATGGACGAGAGGAACCTGCATGCAGTCGGGCGGAAGCAGCAGGCCATCATTTTTAAGCACGGGACCACTCGCTGGGGCACCGCCTGCATCCCGACGCACATTTGGGTTTTGAACACGTCGGACCTCGCTGACATTGAAGATGCTGCGGACTGGAGCCACCGGGGAGGGCTGTCTTTCACCGACAGCTTTGCAGAGACGCAGCTTTTGGGAGACTCGTGCTGCTGCAGGAGGAGCGGAAGGCTCAGGACTGGATCAGATTCCTCCTACTTGCATCAGCAGTTTGCTGTGTCTGGGGACATGTTTTGTGGTCACTCCACCTGCTGCTCCAGCGACAAGGCCTTCAGGACTTTAACTGATCCTCACAGCGAGTCAGGCGTCACCAGAAACATCACTGCTGAATTTCGGGCTAAGTGCTCATCAGTGGGGCCGCAGTGTCTGGAGCCTGAGAACAGGACTGACTGCTCAAAGGCAAAACGATCTTTGACATTTCTCAGCCTCTCTGGATGTTATCAAATCACCGATTTGGGCTTGAGGTAATCCTCACGTCATTTTTCATTTAAACAAAACTGTGCTTTTAACTAGGGCTGACATGATTAGTCGACTAGTCACAATTATGTCAACTATTAAAATCGTCAACGACTAATTTATTAGTCGGTGTGTTTTTTTCTAACTTTGCTTTTGTTTTTTTATAGTCGACCAATCACTGATTTGTCGACTKTAAAAATAATCATTTGTGGCAGCCCTACTGCGCATGTGTGTCAAGGACAGAAAGGCAGACGTGGCAGTGGAAGGTGCCGCAGCAGTTTGGAGAGAAAAACAAAGTTAGGGAAAAAAACATGCATCAACTATTAAATGAGTCGACGATTTTAATAGTCGACAATAATCGTGACTAATAGTGATAGCCCTAATTTAACTTAAAAGAACATGTTTTCCTGCTCAAAACTTGATGTGGATTTATTTGGAGTATAACCAATATACAAGTYTAATCTTCAAAAAACGTTGATACAGTAAAACTAGTTATAAGTTTTAGGGATGTCCTGATACAACTTTTCCACTTCCGTTATGATACCGATATTGCTGCCGTTACAATATCAGAACAAATTCTACTAGTGCTGGGCGGTACACCGGTTTGTACCAAAAACAGTTTTATGTTTTTGTTTTTTTTGTTATGAATTTTCCAAATACAAACATTCTGGTTCAAATGGCCTGAACACGTTCAGAACAGTACGTCACACCCGCCAGTGAACTGTTACACGGGGGACACTTTTCCTCGCAGCACCGATATGAACATTAGCACGCTAATGTTATTGTTGGAGCAGTTTCTCAGTAATAGCCTATATGCCACAGACTTCCGATTCTAGCACTTGCGCATTCTTTAGCCCCGCACCGGTCTTCCGGTTTGCAGGCAACAGATCTTTTCACTCAACGACTCTTAATGATCTCCACAGTTCAGAATTAGCATATTACATGTACCAACATTAACACAGGAGACGTACAGGTCCAGCCAAGTGGGGGAAAAAATCACTCCAAAGGGGATTAAAGCCATAAAAACAAAGGAAAGACGTTCTTGTTTATGGTTCCAGAATTTAGCCTTTTTCGCTATTCCTTGGCTGCTTGTTCCGTGAAGTTTTCACGTAGAGCTGTGACACTTATATTGTTGGAAAGAGCAGAGTCTGGGCTTTACATTGATGGGCTACTTGTATGGTTTGGATTGTTTTCCCTGACGTTGGTGAACTGAAAACGTAATGATCTGCTGCTTTTGGTACTCGGAGGGGGCTCGGTGCTCGTGTTTTGTCTACGCTGTAATTTACACTAACATATTTTTACTTTTGCATAAAACTCATGACAAAGTTGCCTAAAATAATTTCATACTCTGTATAACAAATGCATACGCTAGGGTTGGGCATAATCGTATTGTGTGCAATTAATCGTCAGAAAAACATTAATCGATTATTTTTTGGCACTTGACGATTAATACGGTTAATGCCACCAGGCAGACTGACTGACTGAAGATTTCTCGAGTCAGTCCGCTTGGTGCTCTTCTCCACTTAAAATATGATGAACATTTTAAAAAAGTTCTGTAATTTATTTATCGATCAACACAGTTTAAAATTTGATGTATAGCCTGAAGTCTGTAATTTTGACACAATTTGGAACAGATTTTTATGAAGAGCAAATATTTCCCACTAAATTGGTCATGTGACTAGGACATAAGATTGTCCAGGGACTCCAGGGGATTAATCGTCAAATTAATCGTTATCGGCTAAATACCACAATTAATCGTGATTAAGTTTTTTGCCAATATCGCCCAACCCTAGCACACACACATGCACACCTACCTGTACCGGCTGCTGTGTGGTAGCTTCCTCCTAGCCAAGGGCGTAATCACKATCCTAAAAGTGGTGGGGACACATTTTTAAAGGTCTTGTTTTTCCTTCTTCGGTTGAAATAAGTGGGGGGACAGAGGYCACAGATGTGGGAAGTGGGGGTGACATGTCCCACCCTGTACCTATGGTGGTTACGCTCATGCTCCTAGCTGTCCTTTGGAGGTGGTCTTTGCTCTCTCAGGTCTTGGCAGTGAAGGAGATAATTGTTCATCTCCATTTTCTCATTTCTGATGCCGGCTCTTGAATATCCTCAGGTTAGAAATGCCGATTACAAATGCGAMCGTGAGCTTTTGTAGCTAAGTTTTCCCTGTAATGCTATGATCTACTGCTGTCACCTTTCCTCCTCATCAAGAGGAAAATGTAGAAATTCTAACTGCTCGATCGTACCTGCTGCTTAGTGGACACAAAGGCACACAACAGAACTCATGTTTTATACCAGTAGATCACAGATGCTTTAACTTTTGACTTTTTCACGGACTAGTACTAGCAGCTAATGCTTAAAAACAAAGGCAGTAAGCAGGAAGTGGAAGAGAAGTGCGGGGCTGGAATTTTAACGGAAATATGTCATCAATGACCATGGCATATAGGCTGTTGGCAGCAGGTGGRGATTTCCCTGCTTATATTGACTGACGTTTAGGGTTGGGTACTGAGTATCGGTTAGAACTGGGACTAATGTTTCAATTCTTCCGGAATTGTTCGTCCTTTTAAATTTCGATACCCAGTTTCAATGCCCAGTCTGTCAACTGGAAAAAGCAGCCCAACGGCAATGAAGAAKAAACCCAGGTGAGCCGAGGTGAGTTGGGGTTCAGACTCTTAATTGTCAAATGAAGTGAAATATCTGCCAGTGCAGTAAGATAATTGCAGTTGTTCAGACTTGAAATGAGGAAAACATTTCCAGGTCAACAAGATTAATAATCAAGCACATTCTGCTCTTGCTTAGTATATTGTCTAAAAAAAAAATGAAAAATAATCTTTAGCTAGATATAATTGTACAATTTGGTTAGATGGACAAGTTTTGCAGAGTACCCAAGTGTAAAAAGTATATTTATAACATCAGTTCATCTAGAAAGAACTTTGGTTAACTGCCTCATTTAAATCATGTAAACTTTTTAAACTCTGCCTCTAAAAAAAAAAATCCAGTTGGCAATTATAGTGAACCGCGGAATCCAAATGAGGAGCCAGAATTGTTCAAATTCAAACAATGCCCAACCCTACTGAGGTTTAAAAAAACTCCCTTTTTCTCCATAGCTGAATGTAGTAAACACCTCTTCATTCATGGGCACGGACAGATTTATTGCACGAAACTTGTGAAAAGCCTGGAAGTAGTTTTGTACTGGGGTTTAGTTGACTGCTGCAGGGAGGCTGAGTCGTCCTGTTAAACTTTATTAAAAAACACAAAACAATAGACCTGATAATGATCTTTGATCAACGCTCCTCCTTCACCGGACCAAAATATGTGACTAATATTTATGACCAGGCAAAGAAAAGACATGTAGAGGAGGGAAACAGCAACACAGAGGTACAGTAAAATAAAAAAGTCAGTAAATGGTTTCTGTGTTGCAGAAAGAGAGTAACTTCAGGTGACTGTGGTTTGTTAATCAAAAGCAGCGTTTGTACGTTTTATTATCAGCTGAGCTGTGATGAAAAGAAAAATACAGTCAAAMATCGTYATACTGGTGTAATTGTTGAAAATACGGTGATAAAAAATTTGGGTCCTACCGCCCAGCATTAGTCAACAACAACAGTTACAGTGCCCTCCAAAGGWATCGGAACAGTCAGTCAAATTCCCTTGTTTTTGTTGTTCACTGAAGACATTTGAGTTTAAGATCCAAAGATGAGCATGAGACACGAGCTCTTTTGGAGGTGACTGTATGAGAAACTGGTCCCAGTTATTAACAATGGGTTACATATTTTAACTTTAACACAAGAATATTGTACAATTAAATACAATAAATAAATAGTATACAGTAGGTCTTCTATTTAGAAGACCCTAAAAATGGCCTCAATAAATCCAAAGTTTAAAATAACTATTCAAGGTCACTTCAGTTATTGCTGGAAAGAAATCCTGAGCAGATCACTGAAATGGACCGCTTGTATCAGAGCGCTTATATCGGAAATTCTAGATGCAGGCTGATATAATCCTATCATTTTTTGGCTAATATCGAACTGATATCTGATATTGATATTGGATCGGGACTAGTGCTGGGCGGCATGACCAAAATTTTTTGTCACGGTATTTTCAACATTTACACCYGTTTGACGGTATATCATGGTATTTTTCTTTTCATCACAGGCCAGCTGATAATAAAATGTACAAACACTGCTTATTAACTTTTTTCTTTTACTGTACCTCTGTCTGTGTTGCTGTTTCTCTCCTCTGTGTCTTTTCTCTGACTGGTGGTTGGAGACAGTATTCATGCATTTTGGTCCAGTCGTGAAGGTGGAGGGTTAAGAAAAGGTTATTATCTGCTTTATTGTTTTAAGTTATTTATTAAAGAATAAAAGGACAACTCYCCCTGCACACCAGCCAACTCAATTGCTCTACAAAACTACTTCCCCCCGGGCCTTTCACAATTGAACCACGCTAAAGTCTCCATGCTTCTCAACGTCTCCATATTAAAGTCGCGTGTTCAATCTAACCGTGCACGTCACTGAAGAGGTGTTTACTACATTCAGCGATGGCGAAAACCGGATGTTTTTTAACGTCAGCCAATATAATCAGCTGAATCGCCACCCACCACTGCAACAAACTGCTGAACAATAACATTAGCATGCTAATG